TATATGTAGGTTCCCCTTGGTCCTAGCTGTGCAGGGCAATTTTAGAGACTGATCGGATAAACAACATGGCCGACAGGCAGCCATCTTGGATTTTGATAGTGAAAATTTGTTATCGCTCTATCTTGGGAAGTACGGGAGGGATCCCTCGTTGTGTATGTTATATTTTGAGACTGATCATAAAAACAAAATGGATTAAAAGAAGAACTAAACAGATCTTTCTCATATTGCAATGATCGATTCTATTTCTTTCACATTAAGTACTGTACTAGTAAATATGTGAAATGACAAACTCACTTTGAAGGTTGGCTTTCATACACATCAGTATTAAGTTTAGATCAAAAGTTACCTCAAGGTGCATTTGCTGTTAACATGACTCGATCAAACAGATTAGAGGAAAGAAGAGAAAAGATCGAACTGACAAAGATCTAATGAAGATGGTACAAAGGTGGGCACCAAGATCCCTGTGGGATCTCTTGTTTTTTTTGGGGGGGGGGGGGGGGGGGATTAGTTTGTGAAGGTTATTTTTTATTGGGGTTATCAATCAATTTATAGAGATATTTGATTCATGAAGGTTTTAGCTGTTTTAGCAAACCACAATTTGTTAGTATATTTAGTATTTAGGTATTTGATTTATGGAAGTATTGAACTTTTTCAGCAAATCACAACCTTTTTTGTCTGTTGTAGTATTCGGTTTTGGCAGTAATCTTTTTGTACCAGTAATTCACAAATAGACATAATGTGTTACATTTCAAATTATACCTGTACTTTTGATCAGTTTTAAAATAGCTGAGTCAGCATTGCTGGAAAAAAACCTTTGCTTAATTTGTCTAGCTTTATTTGCATTAATTTTACTTACAACTGAAATTACGGTTGTTTCTTGTTGAGTTGAGACCCGAAGCTTTGTTTGGGTGTTGTTTTATTGGGAGAATAAAGTTTGTGTGTGCAAGACTTGAATTTTTGAGCAGTGCTAGCATTGATGTGCAACAGGAAACATATTTTGAAAAGGATTTGGTAAATAATTAACATTTGTCAAAGCCAGGAAAAACAAAGTGATGTATGCCTGTAGAAAGACACCATAATGACTAGGACTATGACCAAAATAGCTTTACGGGACTGTAGGTAAATTAGGTAAATTATTGATTACTGGTCTGAGAGGTTTAAGTAATCATTGAATTTTCGAGAAAGTAAAACAACAATACAATGATTGTGGTTGTTCCTTGTACATTTCTGTGAGGATTGTGACAAGAAAATGATAAATATTAAAATAGCTTATTGATGTGTGTTTTGAAAATTCATCATATTTCCTGGCCGCAGGCACCCCAATTTTGGCTGGGTCAATACTTGCTTCCTAGTAAATAACAATGATTGTAGAAAGAGAAAGTGTTTACTCAGTCGCGGTAATACTTTATGCATGAGCGACTAGCCTACTTCAGAAGCTCTCCCTTTTCCCTTGTCGTTGATAATCAGCCTAGACAGTGTTCACGATGTGATCATGCATAATGCATGCACTAGCAAACGTCATCAGTCAATGTCCCCCAATAGTGGAGTACTTATACTCCTGAAATATAATCTTGTCCCAGCTTGTGCATTGTAAAATATGAACCGTATATTTTCATGATTGATGCCAACATCCAAACTCTTGCAGTAAATGTACCCCATTTTTCATCATGGGGATGACCCTGCTCACTGTTTTTTTTCATAATTTTGTTGTACAGAAATATTCAGTTACTTCAACTCTCCCTGCTATAATAAGCTAGTATTATACTGTATACCGCTGCA